AAAGAAGGTGTCAAAGTGGACCCCAGCAAAATATCTGCCATCACCGAGTGGAAAGTTCCAAGGAATGTTCGAGAAGTAAGAAGTTTTCTAGGGTTAGCTGGATACTATCGACGATTCGTTGAAGGTTTTTCCTCGATCGCAACTCCACTCAACAAACTCCTAAGGAAAGACGTGAAATTCGTGTGGACCAACGCATGCCAACAAAGCTTTGAAAAACTAAAGAAATGTCTGACAGAAGCACCTGTACTGACACAACCAGTACCAGGTGTAGACTACACAATCTTTAGTGACGCATCTCATAACGGCTTGGGATGTGTACTTATGCAAGACCGTAAGGTCGTGGCATATGCATCAAGGCAGTTGAAGCCTCATGAATGTAACTATCCCACCCATGATCTTGAGCTAGCAGAAGTTGTATTTGCTTTAAAAATATGGCGTCATTATCTCTTCGGAGAAACAACATATATTCATACAGAGCATAAAAGTCTGAAATACCTGTTAACTCAGAAAGAGTTGAATCTGAGGCAAAGAAGATGGCTGGAACTTATCAAGGATTAGATCTGCTATATCGACTATCATCCGGGTAAGGCTAACGTAGTTGCTGATGCGTTAAGTCGGAAGATGGTAGCCGAACTCCGAATCCAACCAACTCTGGAAAACGAAATTCACTTAGCGCAAAAGAATGATGATTATTGTTTGAAGACTTGTGAACTTGTCTCTAAGGGGGAGAGACAAGACTTCACTGTGAATGACGGAATTTTATTCTACAGGAATTGTTTGGTAATTCCTAGTGGTGAAGTGAAAGAACGTTTAATGCGTGAATCTCACAAAACCACATATACCATGCATCCTGGTAGTAATAAAATGTATCAGGATCTGAAGAAAACGTATTGGTGGCCCACAATGAAGCGGGAAATTTCACAATTTACGACCCGATGTCTGACGTGTCAACAAGTCAAAGCGGAACATCAAGTGCCAATTGGATTGCTGCATCCACCAACCATCCTAAATGGAAGTGGGAACGAATTACGATGGACTTTGTAATCGGACTTCCATTATCAGTTAAGAAGAATGATGTTGTTTGGGTTATCGTTGATCCATTAACCAAATCATCTCACTTCATTCCAATTCGACGTGATACGTCATTGAAAAAGTTGGCAGAATTGTACATCCGTGAGATCGTAAGATTACATGGTGTGCCTTTGTCTATCATTTCTGATCGTGACCCTCGATTCACGTCGCAATTCTGGAAGAGTCTGCAGAAAGCCTTAGGTACTCAACTCAACTTTAGTACAGCGTTTCATCCTCAAACTGATGGACAATCTGAAAGAACAATTCAAATTCTGGAAGATATGATGAGAGCATGTGTAATCGATTTTGGAAACAATTGGGAACAATATTTACCGCTAATGGAGTTTGCTTATAACAACAGTTATCAAGCGAGTATCCAAATGGCCCCATACGAAGCCTTGTATGGAAGACGTTGTAGAACCCCAGTATGCTGGACAGAATTAAGCGAGCAAAAGCTTGAAGGACCTGATCTCGTTCGCGAAACTGAAGAAAAGGTTCGTTTAATCAGAGAAAGATTGCAAGTGGCTTCCGATCGACAGAAATCTTATGCCGACTTAAAACGTCGTGAGATTGAATACAACGTTGATGAC